AGGAAGAGGAGGAGGAGGAGGAGGACGAGGAGGAGGACGAGGAGGAGGAGGAGGAGGAGGAGGAGGAGGACGACGACGACGACGACGACGACGACGACGACGACGAAGAAGAAGAAAGAAGCCAAATATGAGGAAGAGATAAAGATTCTTCCTGATAAACTCAAGGAGGCAGAGATCCATGCTGAGTTTGCTGAGAGATCGGTAGCCAAGTTGGAAAAGACAGTTGATTTGGAAGATAAACTGAAATGTACCAAAGAGGAGCACCTCTGTACACAAAGGATGCTGGACCAGACTCTAGTTAACCTGAATGAGATGTAGAGCACCCCAGTCCCGCCTTACCGCAGCTTCTCCCTCTGACCCTGACTCTGCCTGAGGCCGGCCAGTTAGCCTGCCCGAAGCTGAACTTTAAACTGAGGGCTGATCTTTAAAGATCAGAAATTAATACAATTCACACGAATTCCTGTTGAACACTTGTTCTCTCCATTTAAAATGGAGTAACATCAATGTGGTCTTCTACTTTTTCAGAGTATGAATTTCATAATCATAATTTCCTATCCTGTGATTTCCAGATCGAACAGTCATACTGTATACATTCTGACAGATACTACTTTCCAAAAGACCTATTTTTCCTGCTAACAATAAAGAGCATGTAAATGTTACTCCTGTCCCAATAATACATTTAATAAAATTACTGAACTCCAATAAGTTTCTCGTGGTATTTGATAAGACAGGGAAAGAATGTTGGGAAAGGAGGTTGACAAAAGATGTCCTTCAAATTTGGCATAGCTTCTACCTGACAAGTTTAACGAAAGAAATGCTATAGCAATTAGAAGGCAATCATATCAAAGCCTACATGGAAAGGCAGAATCACAAACCATGATCAATTCAGAACTAAGAACATTTTTATCAATGTAACTACATCTGACACTTTAAAAGTGTTACTGTAAATCTTGCCTTGACATTGTTGAAAATTTTAAATTGTTAAATATGCAGTGGTCTGTTATTGCAAAGTTAACAATACCTTTTCAGCCTGTACTAATAAGAGAAACATTACAAAAGATTGAACTTATACTGCATACAACCAATGGAACAACAGACAGAACCACAAAAAATAAGAATCCAACTTCAGAACAGAGTAGGGGGGAATCCCACAGCCAAGTGCAATAATTCAAAATACTGTGGATTTCAATACTGGGTATACTGTGCATTTCAATTCATGTTTTCCTGAATTATTTTCTGCAGGTTTCTCGTTTTGGATACAATTTCAAAATATTATGTTTTCTCTTTTTGATTCATTTAACACATACTAAACACCCATACAAAGTGTTAATCAGTGTTAAGGTTCTGAAGATACAGCAGAAAACAAAGATACATGTAGATTATGTTCTAACAGACATCAATTTTGGCACATCCATCGTTAGAGTTTTGTAAATGCCTGAACAAACTAAGGCCTGTCTACTGAAATGATAACTGTAATTGTCAAACTTCTGAATGAAGCCCTATTGCACCACTTATAAGGGTTCTCTGCTACAGTGGTCCTGGGACCACTGGAGTATGCTAAGCTATGGAAGAACTAATGACTTTAACTTAAATAAGTGTTTATTTCCCTCCTACGACACTGGATGTATAATGTATAATCTGTGATAAATTATAAGACATGAACTCAAACTGAAGTGTTTACCACATGCTTCATATTTTTACTATTTTTCTCCTTTGTGAACTCTCAGATGATTGTACTCATGAAGACTGAGTAAAGACTTTACGACACAAATCACATTACTAAGGTTTCCTTCAAGTGGACACTCTGATGAAGTTAAAGACTTGAAGCCTGGATAAAGCACATACAACCCTTCCCATACCTCCATGGTTTCTCTTCCATGTGGACACTCTGATGCATACCAAGATTCAAGTGATCAAGCAATCCCACTACTTGGTATATATCCAAAGGAAAAGAAATCAGTATGTTCAACAGATACCACAATAGCCAAGATACAAAATCAACCTAAGTGTTGAATGAATAAAGAAAATGAGGCATACACACAAAATAAAATACTGTTTAGCCATAAAAAGGGAAAAAATTCTGTCATTTGTGGCAACATGGATGAGCTCTGGAAGACATGATGTGAAGTGACTTATAAGCCAAACACAGAAAGATAAATATTGAATGTTCTCACTCATATGTGCAAGCTTAAAAAAGTTGATCTTTAGAAGTAGAGAGTAGAATAGTGGTTCTAGAGGTGGAAAAAGGTAGGGGGAGGGGAGACAGCCAAAGGTTGGTTAGCCAATACAAAAGCATAGCTACACCAAAGAATAAGTTTTCTTTCTTTTTCTCTGAAATTCCTGAGCCTCAAAAAGTGTTCTACAGCACTACAGGGTGACTACAGTTAACAATTTAGTGTTTATTTTCAAATAGCTAGAGGAGCAAATTATGAAGTTTCCCAACACAAAAAAATATTTGAAGAAATGGATGTGCTAATTACACTGATGTGATCATTATACATTATGCACATATATACAGTAATTTGATATCACATTTGTACCCCTCTAGTATGTACAATCATATATCACTTAAAAATAATGATAAAATCACATCAAGATTCAAACGCCTCTGGTAGCGCTTCCTACAGTCCACACATTTGTACAGTTTTTCTACACTGTGGTCTATTTCTTGGTCTTTAGAGCAGGAACTGTGTACAAAGATCTTCTCACAATCCTCACATTTAAATGGTTTTCCTATACAGTGGAGTCTCTTATGTCTCAAAATACTTGATGCCCAGCAAAAGTTCTCACCACATTGCTTACATTTATAGGGTCTCTCCCTCCTGTGGACCCTCTGGTGCATGTCCAGATTAAACTTACTGTTATAGCCCTTCCCACACTCTTTACATTTGTATAGCTTTCCTCCAGTGTGGACTATCTGATGGAAATGAAGCTGTGAACTCTGAGTAAATGTCTTCCCACATTCTTCACATTGGAATGCTTTTTCCCTACTGTGGAGTCTCTGATGTTTCAAAAGATATGAGGCCCAAGCAAAGCTCTTCCCACATTCCTTACACTTGTAGGGTCTCTCCCCTGAGTGGACCCTCTGGTGAAACTGAAGATCTAAGCTCCTGTTGTAGCCCTTCCCACACTCTGCACATTTGTACGGCTGTTCTCCATTGTGGGTTCTCTGATGGGCATACCGATGTGAATTTGTGTAAAATCCCTTCCCACACTCTTCACATTTGAATGGTTTTTCTCCATTATGGATTCGCTGATGTTTCAAAAGACATGAGGACCATCTGAAGTTCTTCCCACATTCTTTACAACTATATGGTTTCTCTCCTGTGTGGACCGTATGATGCTCAAAAAGACCTCGCCTACAAATGAAGCCTTTTCCACACTGCTCACATTTGTACGGTTTCTCTCCAGTGTGGACCATGCAATGACTATTAAGTGCTGATCTCTGACGAAAGCTCTTACCACATGTATCACATTGGAATGGTTTCTCTTCTGTGTGAACCATGGAATGACTAGTAAGTCTTGACCTAGTGCGGAAGTTCTTACCACATATATTACATTGGAATGGTCTTTCCCCAGTATGGATTCTCTGATGTTCCTGAAGCTGTGAACTATAAACAAAGGCTCTTCCACATTCTTCACAATTATAAAGTTTCTCTCTAATGTGTAATCTGCAATGAACATAAAGTGATGATTTCAAACTGAAGCCTTTCCCACATTGCTCACATTTGAATGGTTTCTCTCCAGTGTGGACTCTCTGATGAGTTTGCATTTGTGAGGTCTGATCGAATTCCTTACCACACACATCACACTTACTGCATTTCTCTTCCATGTGGACTCTCTGATGAATATGAAGAGCTGAGCTATAACAGAAGCTTTTTCCACACTCATCACTTGCGTGAGACTTCTCTCGCAAGTATAATTGTTCATGAAGCTCAAAGTCAGAGACATCACTGAAAGACTGTTTACAATCATTACAGTGAAAAGGTTTCTGTTTCAGGTCAATTATAGACAGTCCTGCCTCAACCTCATGAGGGAAATCACCTTGTTTGGAGAACTTAGAGTTGTTTACCACGGAGTCTTGAGACCTGGTTAAATCAATTTGTTCCCATATTTGCTGGTAGGACAACTCTTCATGTGGTCCTGCTTCTAGAATAGTCTCCATCTCAGTTTGGATCTTGCCTCCTATCAGAACACAGAATTAAGACATGTGAACAAATGAAACCTTTGTTCAGTGTTATCAACATTTCACACTTAGAACATGGTGTTAAACTTTAATGAATATAGTGAACGTTAACTTTGTGTTTTCCAAGTGCACCAATGGTCTGTGGTTTGCATGAGACCAATTTAGAACCACAGCAAGTCTCATGTAAAATCCTTGAGAAATAAAAGACTTAATAGAAAAATTAATATGATACATACATTTAACCTGTTACTATTTCTAGTGAATTTCCTACTCAGTCTAAAATCTTACATGAAAAATTATAAAACTAATAAAGTATATACATAAAATGAAATATGAATCAAAAGGAACTTTAAGGAAAAGTAATAACATAATCAATACTTTCTGTATTTACATGTATATTGTATATCCATATAAAGAAATAAACTAAGAAAGCAGTGTGAACTTTATCCTTGACATCTAAGAGATAATCTCTAGGATCCTGAAGTGTCATGGCTGAGAAGAGTGTCTCCGTTTGCTTGGGTACAAACAGTGGGTCACTCTGGATAGCAAAAAAATATGATTTAGGGTTACACTAAAAAATATGATTTAGGCTGGTCACTGCTTGGCGGTAGGGGGGTAATAATCATGTGACCTAAAGGAGACTGATTTACCACATGGGCCTCAACCAGTAATGGCTATATAATGGAGCCCCAATAATTGCTCTGCATACCAGGGCCCAGGTGAGCTTTCCTGATTGGCAGTATTCTTATGTTTAAGTTAATCTTAACCCTGGGAATGTAACATATCCTAACTCTATGGGAAGAGTAAAATAGAAGGTCCTCATCTGGTACTTTCCTGGACTCTGTCTTACTTGGTTTTTCTCTTGGCTAACTGTAATATGCATCTTTTGCCTGTAAAAATCTGTTACTTTGAGTATAAAAATATGCAGTGAGTTCTGAGAGTCTTTCTAGCAAATCATTGAATCTGAAGGTAGTTTTGAAAAACCCGTGAATTTGCAGATGGTATAAAGTGGAGGCAATCTTCTGTAAACTGTCCCTGTAAATGTTGTAGTTAAACTCTTCACAATGCTCAACATGAAACATCTAAGAATGTTTATATCTACATATTCGAAGTATTCATACACGGTAACTTTACATAACACGTACAAAAATACTTATTTTTCTATGTGGATACAGACAATAACTTGGTGATCTAAAATGAGAAAGGGACAGTTACAGTTTTGATGGGACTCTGAAAGGCCATACCTCATGTGGTTACACAAAGGGGGATGGTCCTGATGAGAATATCAAAAATGTCAAGAATCACTTGGAATGGAAAGAAAGCCTACAGATATATAGTAGGCCTATAACTGTTTTCAAATTGTAGACTATATACCAGTGGTGAGCTGTGAAATAAAGTCAAAACCTGTAATAAGCATTTAGAAAAAAGAACTAGAATAGAAATTATCACAGCATTATGACAAGCTGTAAAGGTGCCATTACATGAAATGCCTACTAAAGTCACCCATATACATTTATACACATGAAAAATGTTTGTCTGGGTTATAATGAAAGATGTGTTTTTTACTATGGGTCACACTCATAAAATGGCCAAAACTTTGGTCAGGATATCACCAAGTCCTGATTTAAGTAAATTTTTCCAATTAAAAGATACCTTCCAAAGGTTGAATCTCAAAAAAATTAATAGGTAACTATACACCTCTTGGTGAACATCGGTACAAGGATATATTTAATACATTGTCACTTATAAATAAGGGGTTATTCAGGAGAAGAGACAGTATCTTTCAGGATGTGTACATTTTGAGAGGGCAATTGCCTAATTCCAGTTCACCAGTTTAAAATATGGCACTAAATCTCCATAAAAATTAATGCAAAATTGTGTTAAATCTATATTCTTTAATATTTTTAACAATTATATTTGTATATCATAAAGATGCAGAAATATGCAGATTTGGAAGAAAGATGGCATTTGCCAGAAATAAAGGCAATGTTCAGCTGGGTAGCTTGTGTCACCCTCATCCTCATTCTTCCCCCTCTAGGAAAAGGTGGGAGAAACTAGGGTATTGATGTGCATGTATCAATAGCTTTTAGAAAAGGCAAATGGGCTGCAGATGGGTAAATGTTTCAAAAGAAATATAGCTGGAAGCTGGCTATTGTCTAAAACCTCAAGAAATTGAGATTTTTCTCTCCCATGTGTAGGGGAGCTGTCTGAGAAGTAGACATCAGAATCTTCGTTCAATAAGGATTTCTTCCCAGAAATGAATATGCTCCCTATGGAAAGCTCCAGGGTTAGACACAGGGAAGGCATGTTACTAAGTATAGTCATGAAAAGAATGCTTAGAAGTTTCCATGGGATGTGGGTCAACTGCACACACGTAAAACACAATCATGCTAAAGGAACCTAAGAAAGTTGACATTGGATAGGCAGCCATCTAAAGACAAAAGAAAAAAAAAAATTCTGCAACATACACTGGCCCTCTGTATCTGTGGGTTCAGCATCCGTGGTTTGACCAACAATGGATCAAAAATATTCGGAGGAAAAATATTCCAAAAAGTTCCAAAAGGCAAAAACTTGAATCAGCTGCACTGGGAGTACTACATTGCTTCCATGTCAATGAACAATGTGGAGGCATTACATTTGGTATCACAAATAATCTAGAAATGATTTGAAGTACATAGGAAGATGTGTGTAGCATGTATGCTAATACTTCCCATATACATAATCGACTTGAGCATCCTTGCATTCTGGTATCTGTGGAGCATCCTGGAACGAAATCCCCACGGTTATCAAGGGACGCCTATTTCATTCACTCTGGTTTGTGTATCATTTACTAGACATCTCTATGGCTCCTATAGACAGTGAAGTCCCCGATCAATTAACTCATTCATCAGGTTAACAAATATTTACAGATACCTGCCATGTACCAGGACTATTTCTGGCAATAAAGATATATATATATATATATATAGCCATAAACAAACAGATAAACTATCCTTTCTGGAGATGACAAGACAATGATGGAGGTGACTGGTAAACAAAAATATATGAGAAACAATACATGCAGGCCGTGAAGAATAAAGATAGGATGGTATCTTAAACAAGGTGGTAGGAGACAGCCTATTTCATGATACTAAAACTGAGCAGAGACCTGAATAAACTAAAAGAGGGACTAGAAGGTTTTGAGGAGAAAGATGATTCCAATCAGAAAGGAGAGCAAGTAAGGGCTGTGAGGCAGAAGCTTCTGTGGCAGACAGAATGATGGCTTCTGAAAGATATCCACACCCAATCCCCAGGACACACAGGAAGGGGACTTAAGGTTGCAGATGCAATTGAGGTCACTTGTCAGCTAACCAGAACACAGAAAGCTCCCCCTGGGTTTCCGAGGAGTGACCAAGACAATCACAAGAGACCTGAAAGGTACAAGATGGAAACATAAGAAGAGGGGCAGAGGGAGCATGATTATGAGAGAATGGTCAGAGATGTAAAGTTGCTGCCTTTGAAGATGGAGCAAGGGAACGAGAGCCAAAGAAGTGCACAGTCCCTAGACTGTGTAAAGGTAAACCAAGTAAAGGTTTCTCCCCAAAAGCGTCCAGAAAAAAACGAAGTCCTACAGACACCTTGACTTCTGTCCAGTGAGCTGCGTCAGACCTCAGGCCTAACAAACAGAAAGATAACAAATGTTTGTTGTGTAATAGGCTACGTTCGTGGTAACTGGTTACCAGCGACAGGAATTACAGTGTTTTTGGCAAGAATGAGAAACAGCAGGGAGGACAATGAGGCTGGAAATGGCAAGAGCAAGAGGAATAGGACAGGAAGCGTTGCTATCTTCATTACTTCAAATTTTTCTTCCCTTAGGAAGTAGAATGCATCTTGGTGAAATGGTTGTTGCCCTGTGAACATGGAAAGTCATATCCTTAATCCCAACACATTCCAGGTGAAATCTAGGTAATATTTACTGGAAATTGAGGTTCCTACTGCACACTCACACACCCTACGATACACAGTAACTCCTGGGACCCGATATTCTATTACAAAGGGTGGGTGTCCTCACCCACTGACAGCAGGTTCCTGAAGTTCTCCACCATCACATCTCGGTACAGCTTCCTCTGGGCAGAGTCCAGCAGCCCCAGCTCCTCCTCCGTGAAGACCACAGCCACGTCCTTGAATGTCACTGACTCCTACAACATCCAATGTATGCAACCTCAGGGTCATGACCAATGATTACTGACAAAGGGGTGGCCCTGACCAGGCAGACAGGACAGGTGGGAAGTTGTTCTGGATGTTAAGAGATGTAGGTCAACTCACAGACTTCCCACTCATTCGGTCTCTATCCTGAGAACAACACACAATGATTTTCCTGAGCTCCCTCAGGAGTGCAACAATGAAAGAGAAGTCTCAGACCAGGGGTCCTCAAACCTCTTAAACAGGGGGCCAGTTCACCGTCCTTCAGACTGTTGGAGAGTGCGCACTGTGGGCCCCGATGAGTTGGCTGCTAAGCAGGACAGGCAGCGGTGGCAAAAACACCCGCTGGGCCGGATAAATGTCCTTGGCGGGCAGCATGTGGCCCTCAGGCCGTAGTTTGTGGACGTCTGTCTTGGATTTTTACTTTGTGCAATCATTGAATCTACTTGTAAGCAACCCTATCGGACTTTAAATGCTGTATCCTGGGCTACATGTAATTGGATCTCAATGAATCTTTCCAATTGCCCCAGCAACATTTAGCAATTCAGTCCCAACCTTGTTTGATGATACCCAATGTCCCCCCTCTCATATCTGAACCCTGGATGTTACCACTTTTCTTTAGTAGTTGTCACATTAACAAGCTTAAGGTAACTGGGGAGTAATTTTCAGGGTGGCCTTGGACAGATTCTCTCCTTTCTTGCTTATAGTCCTTAAGAATAACCGTGTGATGTGCTAGAATTCAATATCTTTTTTTTCCTCCATAGGATATAAGACAGGAAATAGAATTCAGTATCCTGACATAGAGAGAGGTTATCTGCACCAGCCTGAGCCTTGTTCCTGTCCCTCCTAGGAAATATAGTATCTGGAGTTAGGGAGAAACTGCCCAGCAAGTCACGTAGCCCCTGAGGCATATAACCAAGGTCAGGCTGCCCTATGGGGTGCCTCAGCTGCAGTGCAAGTGCGACATGCACAGTCTATTCTCCATCCGCCCTAAGAAGCCTTCCTGAGCCTTGAGGGCCTGGCCCACAGCGGCTCCTAGATTCTTTTCTCCCTCGCTGCCAATCTGTAAGTAACATGCTTCGTGTAATTTGCTGTGTGAGTGTGCTCTGTCTCGCCAGACTCGTGCAAACTGGTAACCAGTGAACCTGCTCCACAGAACTGGTGCAGCAATGATAGCCCAGGGTGGAAATGGCAGCCGGGGGGCACAGGGTCCTTACTGGACAACTGAGGCAGAAAGGTCGGGGCCAAGTAACCAGGGGAATAGATGCTGGCAGTGGTAGTAGCTTCAGGGCGGGGACAGAAAGACTGTGCCACTGCACCACTGTAGCCCAATCCTTATCCAATAGCTGTCAATCTGCTGTTCCCACAAAGATGAGGCAGCAGAGGCCTAGAAGCACGACACCTTTGTTAGGTTCTCCCAAGCTGTGGCCACCTCAGGTAACCAGACAGAGTGTTCGATCTGCTACCCAGAACCTTGTTCTGTCACAGGCCACAGTGGCCCTCTCATCCTGACAGTGGTGAACTATACCAGCATCCCCAACACCACAGTGTACGCCAGCAGAACCCAAGCCCTGGTTTACCGAGTGAGGATCTAACCCTGGCCACGTGGGAGAGGGCTGGAGGTGCCCTGTGTTAACTGGTTTAAAGTGGCACAATTTCACAACCTCAACTAAGAAAGCCCCAGTGGGCTGGTATTTTGGTATATCACACTCCTTTGACTGGACTAGTGCTAGTCCCGTGTAATGGCTTCATGAACCATATACGGGGGGAACTGAGCATGTGCAACTGTGCCACAAATGAGTCAGCTGGTAAAATCCAATGCCCCCATGCCCACGAATGGGTCACTGAATGCTAAATGAGTGCACGGGAGACATGTCACCCAAGTTACATCTTTCCCTGTGGGCAGCCTAGGGGTGACCCAAATACATGATGGATAATGTTATGCCTGCAAAGCCAGCAATGTGAGATCTTGAACATTATGTGTGCTGGGAGTGGCCCATCATCCTAGGAACGGAATGTCCCACTGAGCCAGCAGCATAAGATGTACCCCAGACGCACTAGGAATCTACCAGGAGGTATAAGTGGCTCTGGGTTTATGTCCCCTGTGAGACACTGGTACCACAGAGAGGAGTAAATTTTCATGAAAAAATGGTAAGAAACCTGTTCCTGATCATGGCAGATATTGCTTCTTCCATACTTAAGAAGAAGAAGAGACAAAGAATCTTCTCATTCTGCCGCTCTATAAATGCAGGAACAGACACTGACTGGCAAATCCTCTAGTACCACTGGATATTTTAAATGAAGGCCCCCTACTACTTTGGTCAAACTGCTCACTACATAAAGGAATAAGAAGAGACCAGTAAATACAATACATGCAAGGTATGACAAAGGCACGGAGAACACAGAATCTAGCTCTGCCTATAGGAAAACTACAATATTTGCAAGAAGTAGCAGTTACAACCGGTTGTGCTATCTACAAAACAGCCAATGTGGTACATGTCAAAAGTACCCGATACTGTTCCCAGAATTAATTTCAGGGGAAAAGGTTATATTATATATAACTGTCATTGTGGTGTTTCTTAAAATAGCAAGATTCCTAAGCCATCTAAATGTCTATAATTGTGAGGTAGTTATAAGTGTATATTGATCCAATGGGAATATGATGAAATCCTAAGAATAGAACATTATATAACAATATATAAAAAGACAATTTAAGATTAGACGTATATCATCAATACAAATATATTTATGAATGTACATGAAGATGAATGTGAGAAGACAAAAATGGGTAATTTGTGAGCAGGGAGCTAATGAAGTGGGAGAATTGTTAATTTCCAGTCATTTTTCCACTACATAAACATTTAAAAAAAATGCAAAATCAACATAAAAGGGACAAAGGAGGATGGTGGCCATGGAAGTTGGAATCCACTAAGGAGTGTGTAATATCTCATCTGCCAAATCAACTAGAAATAAATATAAGTGACAAAGAAAGTACCTGTTACACAACAGGTCCTCAAATGCCTATTGTTCTCCTTGAGTCTTCCAAAAACAGGGAAAAAACACATGACAGTCTGAGTAGTGAGATGGAATTTTAACAGCAAGAGAGGCAAGGCTTACTCACCTTGAATGTGGCCATTTTTCTCCTACTTCTGGGTATCTGAAGAGCCCTGAGTTATGCAGTTAACAGGAAGGCAGAATCATGCCTGCAAAGTGCCACAGAAGGTAGAAAAAGAGACATGAAAAGTTGGCCAGGGATATTGCGAATTAGCACACGAATGTTCATAGCAGCGTTATTTATAACCACACAAAACTGCAAACAACCAAAATGTCCACCTGTGGGTAAACGGATAGACAAATTGTGGCATATCCATGCAATGTTTTTGGATATTAAATGAAGTACTGACTCATGCTACAACATGCATGAACCGTGAAAACATTATGCTAAGTGAAAGAAGCCACTCGAAGAAAACCACAGATTGTGTGATTCCATTTACATGAAATGCCCAGTTTATATAGAGAAGAAGTAGGTTAGTGGTAGCTCCAAATTTGCAGCGAGACTAAGGTTTGTATAAGTGGGCACAAGGAGTTCAACTCCTTGTGGGAGGACAAAAATGATCTAAACTAAATTATGGGGATTATTAACCCATTCTGCAAGTTCCTAAAGATCACTGAATTATACCCCTCAAATGGGTGAATGCTATGATATGCAAAACAGACTTCACTAAAGTTGGAAAAATAATTGTTAATCTACATGTAATTTCACTTAACAATACTCGATTCTGAGTCCATTTTTTTTTTTTTTTTTGAGACAGAGTTTCGCTTTGTTGCCCAGGCTAGAGTGAGTGCCATGGCTTCAGCCTCACTCACAGCAACCTCAAACTCCTGGGCTCAAGCAATCCTGCTGCCTCAGCCTCCTGAGTAGCTGGGACTACAGGCATACACCACCATGCCCAGCTAATTTTTTCTATATATTTTTAGCTGGCCAATTAATTTGTTTCTATTTTTAGAGGAGACTGGGTCTCTCTCTTGCTTAGGCTGGTCTTGGACTCCTGACCTTGAGTGATCCACTCGCCTCGGCCTCCCACAGTGTCAGGATTACAGGCTTGAGCCACCGTGCCCGGCCTCTGAGTCCATATTGACAGAATATTTACAGTTGAACAAGTGAATGTAATAAATCAGGGAGAAGTAGAAGCTTGTCTTTACAGCAGAATTTTTTTTTTTTTTTTGAAACAGAGTCTCACTTTGTTGCCCGGGCTAGAGTGCCGTGGTGTCAGTTTAGCTCACAGCAACCTCAAACTCGTGGGCTCAAGCAATCCTACTGCCTCAGCCTCCCGAATAACTGGGACTACAGGCATGCACCACCATGCCTGGCTAATTTTTTATATATATTTTTAGTTGTCCAGCTAATTTCTTTCTATTTTTAGTAGAGATGGGGTCTCACTCTTGCTCAGGCTGGTCTCGAACTCCTGACCTTGAGCAATCCACCCGCCTTGGCCTCCCAGGGCGCTAGGATTACAGGCATGAGCCACCTCGCCAGGCCTACAGCAGAATGTTAATAATGTATCTTCCCATAAGAAACTATTGAAAGAAAAAAAGGTAACTTTATAGTGGACAAATCTGAAAGACATCATTTTGGCCAAGCGAACAGAGTTGAGATCACCAACGAAGGGACATATCAACATCATTTGTCCTGTTACGTTGCAATGCAAGGAACACTTCACCACTTTTGTAGTATCTCCATCAAAAATACAAAGTCTGAACCTAAACGTGAAACATACCAGACAAACCCCAAATGAATTTCTCCAAAAAAATTTGCCCATACTTTGAATGGGGCTGGGGGGTAATTATAAGGACACTAAATGAAAAACAGAACAAATTTAAATATGTAACTACATATTAGATAACATGATGTTATTAATGTTATCTAGTACTACGTAATAAATAACACTGTTAGTCTTTTCACAGATATCTAATATTTAATAAATAGTTTTTAGTATAGTAGCTAATATTACCTAGCATGTTATGTGATACCCTATAGCCAGCACTTACTAAATGTCTCTTACCAAGATAACCAATGATTATTACCCTGGTATGTGGGCTTCCAGGCTGCAGAAAGGTACAATAAGCTGTGTCCCATTACAGGTATGTGTCTGATGGTATTTCGTGATAGCCATCAACAAAGCAAACAAGCAAAATGTAAAAAACTGGCAAATTTTTGTAAAGAGTATATGAGAATTTCTGATACTATTTTTGCAACTTTTCTATAGGTTTCAAATTATATTAAAATTAGATGTTTTAAAATATCAGGAAACAGAGGAATAATAAATAACAGTGAAAGTAATAAGAACAAACATCATATAACATGGCAGTTCACTAGTTTACTCTTTCTTGGCAGTGTTTGAAAATTTCCATAAAGAGTTAAGGGGGAACACATTTGAAAAACTGATAAAAATTTTGATAAAACGTTCATCAATAAATATACAAATATGCACAAAGAAACACTAAAAAGAAATGCATTTAAAACTTAACAGTTATATCTTTACATCCTGAATTCATGGGTAATTAAAAAACTTTTTCTAGTCATATTTCTCTGATTTGTGAATGTTCCACAATGACATGGTGTTATAACGATGTGAAATACTTGTACTAAGTGAAACAAAATAGTTGACAAAATTTTTTACAACTCCTAGAGAAGCTGTCCAAGCCCATTAGTCTTGTTTTCAAGGTCCGTTCAATCGAATCCTATCTTACTTTGCCCACCTCATTCCAGCTACTTCCTATGCCTCAGTAAGACTATATCCAAGAGATTATCAACTCAGGCTCAGGATCATATTGCACAGGTTCCAACCTCAGTTCCACCTCTTACTAGTTGGTTGACTGTGGGCCAATAACTAGTGTACCTCGTGTCTCAGTCTCAGCTTTAAAATGTAGAAAGCAGTACTCTCTCCAGGGCCACAGCATGGCATAAATGTACTTATTTATATAAAGACCTTGGAATGAAGTTAGCAATTAAGGCTTTATTATTATCAATACCCACATCCAAGGACACATCCTACACATCCTTGGTTGAGGTGAACATCTCCGTAAAAGAAAAAAACCAAGTACCACTCACACAGAGCTTTACTTTCAGTAGCTAAGAAGTTAGTCTGTGAAGTCTTTTTTGAAAAGTTAGGCTGGGGAAAAGAATGTTGTAAAATATTCTGACGGTGTGGCTATCCTTGATAACAGTAAAATGTTCCCTTCCCTTTGTGGAATATGGAAGCAAACTTCACCTTCCTAAAAAGAGGTCAGAAGGCATCTGAGATTACCCAGCACCCTGCAGGGATCAAAGAGTGGACCAGCCACTGCAGCTGGAGCTCTGATCCCAATCTGGGGACCTGAGGGCTTCATGGGAAATGAACAAGAGATCATTACCCACAACATGACTGAAACTGTTTTAAGGCTTTCATTTGTATACATCTTTTATTTCCCAAAACAATTCTGTATAGCACACACTTGGCATAAGTAACTCCATCTTAGAAAATGACTCCATCTTACATTTCAAAGTCATCATGTCAACGGGACCAGATGTTCACCTAATCAACAGAGACCACCCCCACTCAGATAAGGGCATAACCAGACACACCCTATGCTTTCAGCCCTCACCAGAAGACTCAAGGACTATAAGAAGAACAAGACTTTAGCAGTTTGACACAGTCATTGCACAAGACACCGTCCTGCTGTCATTCATGGTCGGCACCCAGCATCTGCTGCCAAAGACTCTGCCCAAACCAAGGACCCTTCCTTGCAAGACACAACCATCTAGATCAGCCCAGGACACTACTTGTCCATGTCATTCTCCTTGGACTGGTTCACTAACCCCTCGTCCTATTTCCCTTTCTCTTGATGTTAAATGTTACTCTGTTTCGAACCTGGCACGTTAGCTCACGCCTGTTATCCTAGCATTCTGGGAGGCCGAGGTGGGCAGATCGCTTGAGGTCAGGAGTTCGAAACCAGCCTGAGCAAGAGCCAGACCACAACTCTACTAAAAATACAAAGAAATTAATTGGCCAACTAAAAATATATAGAAAAAATTAGCCAGCCATGGTGGCACATGCCTGTAGTCCCAGCTACTCAGGAGCCTGAGCCCAGGAGATTGAGGTTGCTGTAAGTTAGGTTGACACCACAGCACTCTAGCCTGGGCAACAGAGTGAGATTGTCTCAAAAAAAATAAACAAAATAAAGGTTGCTGTTTGATGTGAAAATCTTAATCTATAACATTTACATATCAATTAAGGCTACTACTATATATGCTTTGCAATACTGATTGACTTGAGCCAGTGTACTCCAGGGTCTGACTACTGTAAACCGAGAATAAAATCCTAAGCCCCCCTGCCAACTGAACAGACCCCCCCTTTTGGCCAAGGGGACCCCAGAAAAAACTTTAAACTGAGTTCCCATTCACAGGCATGAAACTGAGGCAGTTTTGGAGTTTAGAATTGTGAACTAAAACAAAATCTTAAGGATCCTCACCAACTGGCTGACTGAATGGACCTCCTCTCTGCCAAGGGATATCCTAAAACTGAGTTACCAGCCATGAGAAGAGAGGTCAGACATGCCTCATTGTGCGCCCCTCTCTTCTTGGAGACATCCTTTGTAATCCATTAACAGGCCTAAGGCTATACAAGATAAACTTGCAGGTCCTCAATTGACACAACAAATATTAATATACGGCCAGTAAATTATCCCAGATTAACAGACTTCTTTATCTTAATTTAAAATGTTTCAAGCCTTTACATAAAGCTTCATTTCTTTAATCAATTACAAGGCAAAGAGTCTGTAAACCCACCTGTAACCAACCTGTAAACTCCCGCTTTGAGATGTCCCACCTTGTTGGGCCAAACCAGCTGTCAATGGAAAAAGCCAAACTCTGTAAAATAATTTTTTTTTTTTTTTTTTTTTGAGACAGAGTCTCACTTTGTTGCCCAGGCTAGAGTGAGTGCCATGGCGTCAGCCTCGTTCACAGCAACCTCAATCTCCTGGGCTCAAGCGATCCTCCTGCCTCAGCCTCCTGAGTAGCTGGGACTACAGGCATGTGCCACCTTTCTATTTTTGGTAGAGACGGGGTCTCGCTCAGGCTGGTTTCGAACTCCTGACCTTGAGCAATCCACCCACCTTGGCCTCCCAAAGTGCTAGGATTACAGGCGTGAGCCACCGCGCCCAGCCTGTAAAATAATTTTAAAAAGATTTATTCTGGGCCAAATTTGAGGACCATGACACAGAGCCACTGCCAAGAGGCCTTGGGCAAGTAGACTCCCTGTGGCTGGGTTACAGTTTGGCTTTTATACATTTCAGGGATGCAGGGGTTACAGGTAAAGTCATAAATCAATACATGGGAGGCATACATTGGTTTGGCCCAAAAAGGTGGGACATCTAGAAAGGGGGGGGGCTTATAGGTTATAGGTAGGTTTAAAGATTCTTTTGGCTTGTAATAGGTTAAAGACAGTAAGCTTTGTCTAAAAGTTTGGAATTTTTTAATATAAGGAGCTATTTACCAGAGAAAAGCCAGAGATTTGTTGTGTAAATTGAGGACCTATAGGTCTGTATTGCATACCCTTAGGCCTGTTAATGGGTTACAAAGGATGTTTCCAAGAAGGGAGGGGGGCATAAGGCATGTCTGTTCTCCCTCCTTCTGGCAGACAATTTAATTTTAGGATATTCCTTTGGCCACGAGGGGGGTCCATTCAGTCAGCTGGTGAGGGGTGACCCTTAAAATTTTATTTTAGTTTATACAATTACAAATCAAAAAAATCTCTGAACCCACCTGTAAAGCCTTCCTTCCAGATGTCCAGTTCAGCCTTTTTGGGCCAAACCAATATATACCTTCCATGATTTATGATTTTACCTGCAATTCCTGTCTCGCTAAAATGTATAAAACCAAAATCTAATTCGATCGCCTTGGGACCCCTTACTCAAGGCTTTCTGGATGTGGCTCCCCAGGATGTGGTCACACGCATTGGCTCAGAACAAACTTCTTTAAATTATCTTACAAAGTTTGGTTGTTTTTGCTTTTTTTTTTTTTTTTCTGTTAGCACTACCAAGTGAACTAGTACTAAGAATTTCCTCCTTAGGAACTACATGTAGCTTGTGGCTTTAATGATTAAACAAGCATCAATGAAAGCCTGGTTTTGTGGAACTACACAAACGTGTGGGGACCTTGTTATGTGTCACCTTGCGCCACTCAGGGCAAATTCTATTAGCATGGTCCTAAAATGCCCATTTTAAAAAGCAGCAACGGAAGTAGGGAAAGATTCGAACGTTATACTGCGAGAAAATGGCCCCATACGTTGGGGTGGTGGGAGGCAGATTAAGGAAGCTGAGAGACCTGGAAACCCTCAAACCAGCCAAAACGACCCGACTAAGTCCCAAACCCCTTGGGGCTGGGGGGCGCGAGGACAATTCCAAACACCAGAAAGTTCCGCCAACAGGAATGAAAACCGCCGCCCTCTCCCCTCCAAACCCTTGCTCTACGACGAGACTTCTCTTCCCCTTAGCCGATAGCCTGGTTGTTGCGAGCTCCAGACGTAAGCACACACGTAGGAAAGGACCTCGCAGACCCATAAACGGTTCGAATTACCACGAAAAGCGTTAAGAGCCCGCGACTCCATGGGGCTGCTGGAATACACTTCCCAGAATTCCCTGGGTCAACGTGCCAAAAGTCAGTGTGGCCGCGACTCTACTGGGTTAATGGACTACAACTCCCAGAAATCCCCGGGTCCGCCTGCAACGCCAGAGAGCCCGCGACTCCACCGGGTTACTAGACTACACTTCCCAGAATTCCCCGGGTCCACCGGCCAAAGCCAGATGCCCGCGAGTCCACGGGGTAACTGGACTACGTCCCAGAAAACCGCGAAGAGCGCCTGAGCCAGAGTGCTCGCAACTCCACGGAGCGTTTGGACTACACTTTCTCGAATGCCAAAGGGAAAAAGTCCAGAATCTCACCCTTTAAGGAGGAAGTGTTTGGACTACTCCAAGCTCCTTTACTACACTTCCCTCAATGCCCAAGGGGAGCTAATCCCACAGCCCTGAGCGCCTGGCCAGTAAAGTGGACTGTTAAATTGAGAGGCGTCCTCATCTCTTCCTGAGTCCTCCTCGAGCGAAAATATTGTATAGACACAACTTCCTGAAGCCCAAATTCCTCCAATTATGTCAGTATTATTGGAAAGGGAACAAGCGAGGAGACCAATCAGTACTCTGGACCAATGGAGAGAGGACAGGGATTGGGAGTGACATGCTCTAATACATGACTGAGAGAGAATCCTTCTATATTTCACATGAATGCTAGGATGGATTTTTTCATTTCTGCAAAAAATACCATTGTAATTCTCTTTAAAAAAAGGAAGAGGGTCTTGCTCTATTGCCCAGGCTGAAGTGCAGAGGTGTGATCATAGCTCACTGTAACCTTGAACTCCTGGACTCAAGTGATCCTCCAGCCTCAAGTCTCCTGAGTAGCTGGAACTACAGGTACATGCCACCATTCATGGCTAGTTTTTAACATTTTTGTAGAGATGAGGTCTCCCTATCTTGCCCAGGGTGTTTTTGAACTCCTGGGCTCAAGCGATCCTTCCGCCTCAGCCTCCCAAAGTGCTGAGATTACAAGCATTAGCCACCATGCCTGGACCAAGAAAGTATTAATTTATCACTTTGGAAGGACAGTTTTGCTGAATACAGAATTCTCAGTACACAGGGTTCTCCTGACCCCCAACCCCGAGCACTGAGAATGTATCCTGTCGCCTTGGAGGTGTGCTGAGAAACCTGAAAATCTTACTTAGGATCTTTTGTACATGACAAGTCACTTTCCTCTTGCTGCTTTCAAGATTGTCTTTCAAGAAATTCATTGTAATGTATCTCAGAGTGGTTATCTTTGGGTTTATCCTACTTATAGTTCATTGACCTTTCTGGATTTGCAGACCCATGTTTCTCCAACTTGAATTTTTAGCCCTTATTTCTTCAAGAAAGCTCTCTGTCCCTTTCTTTCTCCATTTGAGGCTCCTATAATGTATATAATATATTGGTCCAACCAATGATGTCCACAATGTCCCTTGGGTTCTGTTCACTTTTATTCCATTTCTTTCTGCTGCTGAGACACAATAATTTCATATGACTTATCTTCATGTTCATGCACTCTGAAGGTAATGTAGCAGGAATGGGGGGCCATCAGCCTTACGGGCACTTGCCTGTGGCTTCAAGTCCTGCACAAATCCAATCTCATATATACCACTTCCAAATGGAACGCTGACATGCACAGGCAACTTAAATAAATGGAGGGGCCAGCAACACCCCATTTATGATGGAAAACTCAGACCATGTGCTAATTTTGGTAGCCCATGGCTAAGTGCTCTGTCTCTGCCAAGAACACTAGCAAAACCCAAAACTGCATCTCAAAAGGAGAGTAAGTATATATAGAAGACAGCAGGACTTTGCTCCAAGATTCTATGCATCTGTGTCCTGACTGACCAGCTGGAACCAGCTAAAAGCTCCAAACATCACTTTGTCAATGACCTTTCCATCACTTTTACATCTCTTGGATCATAGGGTCCTAGTGGCAGAGAAGATTACATGGCAGCTGGGATACATCACAGTTTAATCTGAGTCATTATTTTCAGGTCTCTCAAAAAAAGGCAGAGTAGACACCTCAGTAAAGACTAAGTAGCATCCAACAGCACAGAAAGCCCACTAGGCACTGTGACACTTTTGTTTGAAGGAGAGGCCATGTGGTACTAGCCCTATACTTTAGAAAGATATCTCAATGGGCCCACATCTGTGAACCTGTGGATATTTCACTGAGGTGAAGGCCAGTAAAAATTTATAAGATTTGTTCCCTCACTCTGACATTCATGTGTCTTACATATTTGCCTAGATTAGTTCCTAGTTCCTCCTCACCAGGTCCAATCATCATATCAATGTGCCATTTGACAATAAGGATTCTCATTGCCAAAAAGTGTGATTATTTCTCCTGTTGAATACACTCACTTGGGTTCATGTCCACACATCCCTGTGGAGAATTCTACAGTAGGACATATATAAGAGATTTATTGCAAGGAACTCTATATAACTGCAGGACTGGCTGAGCAATTCCAAATGCATATGGCTGGCCACCAGTAAAGCCAAGATGGAATTCTAACCCTTGAGAAGATGTTACCAACAGGTACAATAATTTCTTCATTCAGAGAAGTTTCAGCTTTACTCTTTTTTTTTTTTTTTTTTTTGAGACAGAGTCTCGCTTTGTTGCCCAGGCTAGAGTGAGTGCCATGGCGTCAGCCTAGCTCACAGCAACCTCCAACTCCTGGCCTCAACCGATCCTCCTGTCTCAGCCTCCCAAGTAGCTGGGACTACAGGCATGCGCCACCATGCCCGACCAATTTTAGCTGACCAATTAATTTCTTTCTATTTATAGTAGAGACGGGGTCTTGCTCTTGCTCAGGCTGGTTTCGAACTCCTGACCTGGAGCAATCCGCCTGCCTCGGCCTCCCAGAGAGCTAGGATTACAGGCGTGAGCCACCACACCCAGCCTCAGCTTTACTCTTAAGAACTTTCAACTGATTCAACAGGGCTACCCAGATTACCTAGCATAATATGCCTACTAAAAGCCAAGTCATTAGGGAGTGAATATCTATGAAAAACCCTCACAACACTTCTATTAATGTTTGATTAAATAACTAGGGATTATAGTCTAAGCATATTGTCATTAAAATTGATTATCACAGTGATGTTCATCAGCAGAAAACTGTTTAAGGGAAAAATACTTAGTACATCAGAATACTACAGGCATTAGAAATTATGTTGAAGACCAATTTATTAAAAAAAAAACATTTAACATTACCTTCAAATTGGAACAATCCCATTAGAAACTTTTGTTCCTTGTTTTGTAAAAGTATATACAATTGTTATCTATATGCAGATATGCTATAGCATGCTTACTAAAATATTCATTCTAGTGACTTTCTACTATCTTCCATTTTCTTCTTTAGATTTTTTTGTACTAATGTACTTGTTTTCAATGTCTAGGCATTATTCTTACAAGTGAAAGAATATGGAAGTATTTTTACTATGAAAACTAAATACAACAATAAAACTATTTAAGTTCATGTCACAGTGTGTTAAAAAAAGACAACAGATGTTGTGGTATTGGACAGAAATCCTTATATGGATATCCTACTGCTATCATCAGACTTTAATAACTTGGGAAGCCTCCCTCTTTTTTCAAACACTAAGGCTGATACTAAAGCCCTTCCCACATTTCCTAACATTTGTACAGCTTTTCTCCCATATGGGATCTTTGTTGGAAATGAACTTGTAAATTCTGAGTAAATCTCTTCTCATACTCATTTGAATGGTTTTTCTCGACTATGTAGTCTTTGATGTTTCAAAAGACATGAGGCCCAGCCAAAGCTCTTCCCACATTCCTTACAATTATAGGGTCTCTCCCCTCTGTGGACCCTCTGGTGCATGTCAAGATTAAACTTACTATTATAGCCCTTCCCACACTCCTCGCATTTGTGTAGCTTTTTTCCAGTGTGGATTGTCTGATGGGATTGAAGTTGTGAACTCTGAGTAAATCTCTTCCCACAGTGTTCACATTTGAATGGTTTTTCCCCACTGTGGAGTCTCTGATGTTTCAAAAGACATGAGGCCCAGCCAAAGCTCTTCCCACATTCCTTACACTTGTAGGGTCTCTCCCCTGTATGGACCCTCTGGTGAAACTCAAGATCTAAGCTCCTTTTGTATCCCTTCCCACACTCTGCACATTTGTATGGCTTTTCTCCATTGTGGGCTCGCTGATGGGAACAGCGTTGTGAATTTGTATAAAATCCCTTCCCACACTCTTCACATTTAAAAGGTTTTTCTCCACTGTGGACTCGTTCATGGATCAAGAGACATGAGGACCATCTGAAGGTCTTCCCACATTCTTTACAACTATATGGTTTCTCTCCTGTGTGGACCATCTGATGCTTATCAAAAGCTCCCCTGCAAATGAAGCCTTTTCCACACTGCTCACATTTATATGGTTTCTCTACTACATGGACCATGGAATGACTATTAAGTGCTGTTCTTTGACGAAAGCTCTTACCACATGTATCACATCGGAATGGCTTCTCTCCTGTATGAACCATGGAATGCCTATTAAGTCTTGCCCTAACACGGAAGTTCTTACCACATATCTCACATTTGAATGGTTTCTCCCCAGTATGGATTCTCTGATGTTCCTGAAGCTGGGAATCATGAATGAAGCCCCTCCCACATTCCTTACAAATATAAGGTTTCTCTTCAGTGTGTAATCTGCAATGAACATTAAGTGAGGATCTACGACTGAAGCCTTTCCCACAATGCTCACATTTGAATGCTTTCTCTCCAGTGTGGACTATTTGATGACTTTGCAAATGTGAGCTCTGACTGAATTCCTTACCACACACATCACACTTATAGCGTTTCTCTCCTATGTGGACTCTCTGATGAATACGAAGAGCTGAGCTATAACAGAAGCTTTTTCCACACTCATCACATGTGTGAGACTTCTCTCTCGAGTGTAATTGTTGATGAAGCTCAAAGTCAGAGACATCACTGAAAGAC